AGGGAGCACACGGGCCCCGGGGGCCAGATGATATTGCCACCTAGGTGCAGGACGGGTGTGTGACGTCGCGTCCCGCCACTGTGTACAGCCATAGAGCACCCACAAAAATACATGGAAAAACCAAAGGCCCAGCAGTCCAGCGTCCTCCCTGGGCCAGCGGCGGGCTCCAGCTCCTGGAGGTGAGCCAAACCCAGGTCGACCCGCATGGCAGATCCTGGGGCGGACGAGGCAGGACACGTTGGGGGCGTCACAGGCTGACCCTGCCCTGCACTACAGACCTGAGGGTGGACCACAACTCTGTGGACAGGGCCATGGAAGGAGCTTCCCTGGGCTGGAGGGGGCCGTGTCCTCGACCACGGTGACAGGCAGACTGCGGAGGGAACCGGTGATGACTCTAAGTTTCAGGGCTTGTGGGTTGACGAAGGGCAGGGCCACTCGAACAGTGTGAAACCCCTGGGGCACCCTGTGGCACTGCGCCCAGGCTGACTTCTGGGTCCTGCCCAAGGCCCTCAGTGAACCAGGCTGACCACTCCCGCTGGTCTCCAGGACAAGGAAATGACTGTGGAGAAGGACCGGGGAGGGCAGGGGTCTCTGCGGCAGGAGACAGGCTCAGGGAGGAGCCAGGCAGCTCCCTGGGGCACACGGGCCAACCTGGCACAAGGCCTCACGGGGACATTTGGAGCAACACAGGACTGGCAGAGATCGCAAAGCAGGGGATCTTCCTGTCCTCCATATAGGGCATAGTGGCTGCCCCTGCAGGTCACATGGACCCACCAGGGAATGGCCCCAGAGAAGTCAACACAGGTCCTCCTCACAGCACAGCAAGGGCACAGGACAGCGGTGTGGACTGCCTGCTGGTCCTAGGAAGCAGCTGGTGCCCCCCAGGCCCTCTGCCCACTCACCTGACCAGCCTGAGGAGCTGGGCCTTGGTCCTGGAGTGGATCTCCAGAGCCATGCTCTTCACCAGGCCCCACATCCACCACAGGTCTGCGGGCGCGTCCGGCAGCCAGATCACCAGCCTGGACGGGGGACAGCATCAGCCTCGCCCAGCAGCCAGCCCAGAGGCCACCTACCCCTCAGACCCTGAGGGAGCTACCAGCCCACAGGAAGGGGCTACCCAGATGGGTACGAAGAGTCCAGAGGTGTGGGCCACCATTGCAGAGCAGAGCAGGGCCCCAGGGCACCCGCAGGGCACAACGATCCACCATGGGCTCTGAATGCGGCAGAGGTGGCGGGCCTTAGGTCACCAGCGAGGGCACAGGTAGGGCACAGGGCACAGGGCACAGCCCAAGGGTGGAAAGGGCGGGGCTTTAAGGCCAGGCAGGGCCCGCCCCCCTCTCCTGCTCATTAGCTACGTGACCTGAGAAGCTGGGGAACCTCTCTGGCCGCTTTACTCCCCTGTCACACGAGGACAGCCAGCCCGCCTGCAGCTCCTGACCTCCTCCTCATCTCCCCTCGTCCACTCTCCTCTCGAGGTTCCTGAAATGTCACCTGACCAAGGCCCCCGGGCTCCTTGCTGCTGACGTGGCTCAGCCAGCACCAGATGCAGGGTGCACAGAGCGCTGGACCCCACAGGACCAGCCAGCGCAGTCCTCTACCTGTCTCTGAAAAACACTGGCTGGACACCTCCGCCCACTCACCGGCTGCTGCAGGTCCTCACCTATTACCTCACCCCCTGGGAGGGCCTGAACAGGGGCTGGAGCGGGGCAGACGGTCAGAGGAGGCGAGGTAGCAAGCCAAACGGAAGCCGGACCGTCCCCTCCCTCATTCTGGGCCCTCTGCCCCTGTTAATGCAGACTAACTACGCGTGGAGCATGGGGTGATGGGAAAAACTACGGGTACAGGGGCTGGGGATGTGGCTCAAGCGGTGGCGCGCTCGCCTGGCATGCGTGAGGCCCAGGTTCGATCCTCAGCACCACATACAAACAAAGATGTTGTGTCCACCAAGAACTAAAAAATAAATATTAAAATTCTCTCTCTCTCTTTAAAAAAAAGAAAAGAAAAGGAAAAACTACGGGTGCGTTTCCTGTGTTCTGGGAAGACCCCGTAGCGTCACATAATGGATCTTTTTTTTTAACTGAAAAGGTTAGATTTTACTTTTTTTTTTTTTTAAAAATTTCAACTTGTAGTTTCAGTAAACAGCTCAGCAGGAAGAGAATCTGAAGGTAGAAAGCGCTCTCCTGGCGTTGGGCTGACCCAGTCATCAGCTTAACGTGGAACAGGACAGAGGCTGTGACTCACTGTCATGGACCTTGCATGGGACACAGACCTCCCTATGTCACCTCCCTGCTTGAACCCCCGTCTAACACCAGGATGAAGAGCACTCGATCGGCTGCAGAGCCCTGGGTGTGGCCCCTTGTCAGCTTCTCGCTCCAGCTGGCCTCCCTCTCTGCTCCTTGAATGTGTCCTACTCTCTTCTGCCCCAGGACCTTTGCAGATGCTGTCCCATATGCCTGGCATGCTTTTCCCTTCCCCTGTGCCTAGCAAACCCTTATCCATCCTTCAGATGAGCTCCAAAGTCATCTCCTCTGGGCAGCCTTCCAGGCCAAATAGCCACTAGTATGAGCTGTGCCAGCTCAGAGCCAGCGTAGACCTCTCCCAGGACTCTCCAGGAAGAGCTGAAGTTGCACAGCAATGATTAGTGGGTGGTGAGCTCCACAGGAGCTGCTGCCCCCTCGCCCCAGACCCTTAAGGGCTAGTGGCAGAGTGAATGGAGGAGTCACTCAGCACATCACCAGGACTGACGAGGGCCGAATCACAGCCAGACTGCCCTGGAAGGGTCTTGCTTTAGAGAAGAGTTAACGTGGCCCAGAGTACTCAAGAGAGCTGGCCCAGGCCACACAGCTAATCTGAGCTGGACCAGCTCTGAGAGTCACCCAGGAACATCGTCTCTGAGACTCTAATGAGCAGAGCAGGGGCCAGAGGTCCCAGGCGCAGGGCAGGGCCAGGAGCTGACCTGGGCTCCCAATCCAGCCGCTACCCGCCTCCCACCTGTCCCCCCCTGTGGAGGAGCCCACCAAGGCCCTGGGCCACTTGCCAGCACCCAGCCCACCATGGACCCTGGTCTCCCCACAACCCTGCCTGCGAGCCAGTCCCTCCCCGCACCCCGCTGCGCCTCACCTTCTGCCGCGGAAGTACACGTACTCAAAGGGCAGCGTGCAGGGCAGGAGCAGGTACGTGAGCACCTTCCCGGGCCCCGACCGGCGGAAACGGGCCCAGGCACTGGGGTCCCTCCTGACAGCCTTCCTCAGTGCTGCAAGAGAGTCACCTCGTGGCTGTGGCCGTTTGGAACCCATGGGCTGGCAAGCCCACCTCCAGCCAGCCCTCCCAGGCACCCTGAGAGCTGGCCGCCCAAGCCCCTCTCTATCTCGTGAGGGTCACCCCACCCCTTTCTGCACAGATGGACACAACACCGTTGGAGCCCAGCCATGTGCCAGCAGGGTGCCAAGCCCTTCACACATGCCCTCTCACTGATGTCCTGGAGATGGACATGGTGTGCCTCTTTCATAGACGAGGAGACTGAGGTTCAGAGTAGAAAAGTGACTTAACGAAGGATCATCACCAGATGGTGCTTGTAAGCACCCCACACCTCTCCCGGCCCTCTGGGTAGTCTGTCGTGGCCCCTTGGGTCCCCACCACACCCCCCTCCAGAGCAGTAGCCCATGGCATATTAACCTCAGCAACAGCTGTGAACACAGCAACCATTTCCTAAGTCCCCTATTCACTGACCAGAGCCTAGATCCCAGCCTCCAGACTGCAGCGTGGGCCTGGGGGCACCAGCAGCCTCCACGCCAGCTAGGGCCAGCCCGTGTCAACACAGCCCCAAGACCTGCTCCACCCAGGACGAGTCCTTTTCCTTCCCTGAGCCCAGATAAAACCAGGACATGGGCACGACCTTCCTCCCGGGGCAGGTGGGTGAGGATCGAGGGAGGTGGACAGGGGCCTGCGCTGTCATTTCCCTCTCGGCTGGCTGCCCTGTGTGGCTGCAGGGACACTGCGAGGCCTGCAGATCCCAGGCTTGGACCTCAGGAGCTCAGCACAGAACCAGCACCATCCGGAACCAGGAAGAGGCACCTCCTCCCCGGCATCCTGTCCCTGCCCAGCCCTGGACCACCACCTCTCCTCCCAGCTCCCAGCCCTCTCCTCCACAGCTGGGCAGCCGCCCACCTGGCCACCCGGCCCCTTATCTCAGCTGCCCCCCCCAACCACTGTGCTGGTGCCCCGTGGGCCTCCCAGGCCTCCCTGACCCTCGGGATCTCCTGGGTATCTGCCGCTCGCACCTTTGGAATCCTGGACTCACCCTTACCATCTGTGCCTACTTTGGGCTTTGTCCCTTCCTGTTGCTGAGATCGAGACGCTTAGTTAAACCAAAGGTGGGACTAAAAGGCTCAGAGCAGAGCCTCCCTCTGCCAGGAGCTGGCTGTGTCACCCGACAGGTCCTCCCCTCGCTGCCCACCGCCCCCAGGGTGGCCAGGAGAGGCTCGAAAGCCGACTTCCTCACGGGAGCCCAGTGTCTCTCATACCCGCTGACCTGCCCTTTCTCAAGCACAGACCTGAATTCGAATTCCCCTGCAGGCTCTGTGACCTCGCCCGGTCCCTGTCCCTGAGCTTCAGTTTCCCCATCCGAGAAAGGGGGTAAGAATGACGTGGAAGCCGGGGCGGGGCGGGGGTTTGTGGAGGAATGAGTGACGCAGCCCGTAAAAGGCCCTCCGCACACTTGGCACTTAGCAGGTGCTCATTAAATAAGTGCTGGCCCCTGTAGATCACGCTACTTCATGGCAGGGTCCCTGGCCCCAACCCCAGGGCAGGAAGGGGCAGTACCAGCCTCCAGTTCTGGCGAGAGCTGCTCCAAGCTGGGCACGTCCTTGACCAACACGGTGGGCACATGGCAGTTGAAAGACACCCCGTCATCTGGGGTCCTAGCAGGGGGTGCTGGGGGATCCCTAGAGACCAACGTCCACAGCACGGGCTCCTTGGTGAGTCCTGGCCAGGGGAAGAAAGAGGACAGACAAGTCGCCCCCGCCCACACCCAGCTTGGGGAGCAGTCCCCTCCGCTCCCCGCTGCTCCGCTGTTTGCCCTCTCCAGTGGCTCTCCAGAGCCCGGACCCTGAAGACATGACTCAGGGTCAAACTCTGGCTCCACCGCCTGCAAGCTGCGTGACCCAGCCCCTCCGTGCCTCAGTTTCCCTCTCTGTGACAGTGAAACGAAGATCGGTCGGATGATAGAGTGGTTCTGAGAACTAGGTGCCATCAGGACACGACGCAGGCTGTGCTCGGCCGACGTCCACCTCCCCTTCCCCTCCGTGGGACCTGTGCTGGGGTGACACCCGAGCTCTCTAGCCCAGGAGACCTTTCCCCGCCTGCGGTCAGTCCGAGCGCACCACTCTCTCCATCCCAGGCTGAGTCCACGTCTCCCCTGGGCTCCCACAGTCTGGAGCTTCCCTCCCTCTGCCACCGCACCCCCTCCCTGGGGTGTCTCTGCACCTGTTACTGTCACCCTGCACCAGGGACCTGCGTGATTCCTCTCTGGTCCCCAGGTGTCTCTGAGAGAGGATGAGAGAGCCCAGGTCCCTAGTGGCTCACAGGCCTGGAAGGCAGGGTCTGCCTGGCACCTGTGGGACACGAGGCCCACCACCATCCCCTGCCGCTCACCACGTGCCTCCAGGAACCTCAGGGCGTCCAGGTACCCTTGTCTGCAGCTGTCGGCCACCACCTGGACACACAGGGCAGGGCAAGTGGGCCAGGCCTGGGCTCACACGGGACAGCCCGTCCCAGACTGGAGCCTGGAGTTCAGTGGGTGGTCTCCGTCCTGCCTACCCTCCCCAAGCAAACCCCGGGCAGGGCACAGGGACCCTGGGGACCCTGAGGGACTGAGAGACGCTGAGGGACTGAGGGACCCTGGGGGACCCTGGTACCAGGTAGGGAGGCAGATAGGGCTGAAGGCAGAACAGGTCTGCTCAGTCCCCCTGCCCCTGGCCCCACATCCTGCTCTCCTTGGGGACTCTTAGCTGCCAGTCCTTGCCCCAGCCTGCCCCTGGGCCTCCGGGCCCTCCCCTGGAAGATGGGGGAGCGAGGCCTGACTCTCGTAGGTCAGCAGATAGCCCTTCCCTTCGGCCCTTTGATGTTCATTTCCAGACTAGTCTGAGTGGGCAGAGGAACCAGGGCCCACACTGGCCTGGTCAGAGTGCCACGGGCAGGGAGACGGACCTGCAGGCTGGGACGGAGACCTGCCCCCTCCCCTGCTTGCTGTGTGACCTTGGACCGTAGTGCCGTCTCTGTGAGAGCCCCTATTTCCTTGTCTATACTCGGAGCGGAGAGTTTCTGCCCACTCAGTGGTGTGGAGAGGACCTCGTGAGTGAGTTTTGTTTACCTTTGCTTTTTGTTTTATTTGTTTGCTTAGTTCTGGGGATGGGACAGCTACCTCCCCAGATGTTTTTCTTTTTTGAGACAGGGTTTCACTAAGTTGTCTAGGCTGACCTTGAACTTGAACCTGTGGTCCTCCTGCCTCAGCCTCCCCAGTTGCTGGGAGTACAAATGTGCACCACGGCACCCAGCCAGAGGACACAGCAAATGGACATGACCTTGTTGCACAAATCACGGAGCATGTGCCGGGCGTGGTCGCGGGAGGAGCTTGTTGCAACGATCAACTGTTTGTTGTCAAATTATTCATTTCCCAGAAAATGCAAGGGTAAAAAGCAGGAAATGTAGGTTGGTTGTCCACTTTGTTGTGCTTCCCTATAGGACAGATGGCCAATACGGGCACAGTCCAGGGCAGCCGTGGAGACATGAGTCCAGACTGGCTGAGAGTCTAAATCTTAGCTGTGTGACTTTGAGCAAGTGGCTTACGGGATCTGAGCATTTGTGTCCTCTGAGAAATGGAAACGATAGCAGCACCTGCTCACAGCACCTGGCCCCGGGGAACACAGGCCAAGGCCCCTCTGCAAACCAGCTCAGCAGCACTGTGTCCTCACCCAACCTGGGCCCCGCCCTAACTCAACAGCCCCTTAGGGCGGGAAGGAAGGGTGCGAACCCTGGCTTTGGACGGGAGGCTTGGTGCGAGATGGGGCATGTGCTGCAACTGCCCCGAGTGGTGTGGAGGAGATGTGGCACAGAATCTGAGGCACGGGGCCTTGGCCACCACCTTGGAGACCCAGACCTACCTCAGGTTTGGGGGGTATGAGTGATATGAACCCCAGGAAGAAGTTCTTGGTGGAGATTTGGAAGCTGGCATTGAAAGCATTCAGCTCGTGCAGGCTGGCCGAAGTGCTCCGGGGACAGATGTCCACTGTCCCATGGAAGGGGGACACGGTGATGGTGGAAGGGCAGTCCGCGAAGGGCAGATTGTTGCTCAGAGCCCCATCGATGTAGCGCTGCAGTTCGGGTGGGCAGGTGGCTGTGCTGCCCTCTCAGGACACCCACCCTCCTCCCACACCCAAGAACCTGCAGCAAGTGACCCTCCTGCTCCCGCGGGCCCAGCAGTGGGGAGGGCCGGGCACGCAGCAGGGGCTCAAGGAGAAAGAGGGGGGCGTGTACCCAGCTGCCCAGAGCTGTGGACACTAACCCTCAAGGGCACTCACCTGCCCTCTGAACTCGGGGGGGATTGTCCCACAGTAGAAGGGGAAGTACAAGGTGCAGACCAGGGCCTGGGGACAAGAGCCACGGGAATGTGACTTCTCGCTCCTGGGCAGGAACCTCCGGCACAGAGGAGGCGACTCCTGTCCTGTGTGCAGGTGCGGAGGGGCCACCAAGCCCTCAAGGGAAGAAGGGGTTTGAGTCCCCCTCCTTTCTGCTGGGGGACCTCTGCCCACCATGGTTGCTGCTGGGACCCCACCTCCAGCCTCAAGGACAAGCAGCGGCACCAAGGCCACGTCCTCACCCGCCCTGAAGGAATGCCCCCCTGGACAGTCCCACAGACTGTCCCCTGGGCATTGATCAACAGGTGCACCTGCACTCACCCACCCGGAAAACACCATCTACTCTCTCCTGGAAAGGAGGTGCCTACGGAAGACCAAACCCCTCTCGGCACAGACTGATACATTGTCACGGGGAGATGAAATGTCTGTGCACTGCAGGACGTGTGGAGACGGCGATAAGCTGGGCAAACCCACTCCTGGTTGGGCACCGCTGACTGGTGCTTCCACTCACGAGGAGCATAGACCCTGCCTGAGAGGGAACCCCCGACCCTCTCTGGGAGATGCAGAGCCTGTCCTGGCCTGACCAGCTGGAATGCAGGCGAGAGCCCCCTTTCTGTAGATTAACTATGGTGACAACAGTGACATCTGCTGAGCACCTATGATGTGCCAAGTCTGTACTCTGCACCATCCAGGAGAGGAGGCTGGAACACACTATGGGGTCCCCAGCTGGCTTCCCCAGGAACCGAGGGACCTGAGCCTGCAGCAAGTGACTGGTCCCCCCCTCGGCTTGCTAATATCAGACACCTATGACTTGGCCATCTCAGAACTGAGATGGTCCCAGTGCTGGGGACGGGGAGCACCAAGATGAAGCACCCTGTATGGGGACCCAGGGTGGGTGGCAGACAAAGCCCATGATGGGAAAGATGGGCACAACTGCAGCGGGGGGGGGGGGGGGGGGGGGACAGGACTCCCCACCTCAGCCGCTGCCTCACAGGAGACCTGTCCCCCTACCTGTCTGCACTCCCCCAGGGTCCAGCCCCACTCAGCCCTCCCTACCACCCCACAGCCATGCCTGAGGGCCTCTCCCTGCTGGTCTTCCCTGTGTCTTCCTCCTGCTCTGTCCCAATACTGGCTCCTTTCCTAACTTGTCCAATCCACATTAGCCTCAGGGGGACAAGGATTTTTTCCCTAGTAATCACAATGCCAAGGGCTGGACCTGGTGCAGAACATATGCCCAATAAAGCCTTGCTCACTGACTCCAAAAGTGCCTGGGGCTCTAGCTCAGTGGCACAACACCTGTCTAGTGTGTGGGAAGCCCTGGTTCCATCCCCAGCACTGCGGCAGGGGAATGCACCTGGAGGACGGGTGGGTGGGGCTGGGCAGAAAGAGCAGCCCCTGTAGGTCCTGACTGAAGAAGCCTGACTCTGCCCCCTCCCCAGCCTGGTCCTCTGAGGGCAGCCCAGGGAGCCTCCCCAGCAAGCACACACCCCTGTCATCCACTCTGCCCCGACTCTGCATTTAGAAACAGACTTTGCAGCCTCCTTTTCCTCTCCCGGACACCCGCCAGGCTCCCACACCTGCCTCTGCCCCTGGGAAGCACCTCAGAGTCACTCTTGTTCTACCCGCCTGCCTCCAAGCCCTGGGTCCCTGGACCTGCCCACCTGAATGAGCTCATCTCTGGTGGCAAAGTCAGTGACTATGGAGTTGTGGCCATTGGGCCAGCGGGTCAGCGAGATGCCCAGCCGCTGGGAGGCCAGGATGTGGCTGTTCTCCGGCAGTTTGTCCTGCAGCTGCTGCTTGATGTGTTCGATGGGTGCGTAGGCAGGGTGGAAGATGCCCAGGCTCAACCCCTCCACGTGCTTGACCAAGTCCAGGAGGTGGGAGCAGCAGAAGTCTTCAGGGAGGAGGGGAGAGGAGTCCTGAGCCCTGGGGAGGGGACAGCCACACTCTCCCTCGGCCAATCCCCCTGCTGGGGCTCGACCAGAGAGGAGGGCCCGCCCCTCTGCAGAATTCCTATGCCAAGCTCTGGATCCAAACGCTCCGTCTGCCTATTGCCCCCAAGTGACCTGGGGAAGTCTTCCTGTCTCTGAGCCCAGGATCCCCCCTCTGCAAATAGGGGCAAATGTAATCCCCAGATGGACATAGACCCAAGAAGGATCTCTCTGGACTCCCCCGCCCCCATCAAGAGTCCTCCCGCCTTGGGATGGATGGGGCTGGGGTTGCCGCCTTCCTCCCCACTCCCCGCCCTGGGCAGCCTGGGCCGCACGCACCGGTCGACTTGCCGCAGACAATGGCGAGGGCATTGAGCGCCCCGGACGAGGAGCCATAGAAGCGGCGGGCGCCCTGGAGGAGGCGCGGGGCGCGCTGGCTCAGGCACTGGGTCACGCCCACGTGGTAGAGACCCAGGAAGCCAGCGCCGGCGAAGGACAGGCTCCAGCTGCCCTCCTCCAAGAAGTCCATAGCCGGCGGGGCCCGGGACGCGACCGAAGTTGCGCCAGGAAGGGGCATCGGTTGCGAATCGGGACTGGATGCGGCGCGCGGCGGGGGAGGAGGGCTCGCTGGTCCGGGACGCGCGGGGTCCAAGCAGGGATGGGCGCTAGTCAGGGATGGAGCCCACAAGTGGCGCTCTAGCGGGAGCCCGCCCTCGGTGTGGACGTCCCCTGCCCTGCCCCTCCCCAGACTGAGTCAGCCGCAGTCCGGGCCAATGAGGTTCCCGGGCCGCGATCACTCCGCTAGGTGCCCCAGGTGCGCCCCAGGTGCGCCCTAGAAGCGCGGGCAGGCTCTGCGCACGGAGGTTCCGCCCCCGCTCGCCCACTCTGGGCCCAGATCTCAGTCACGGATATCTGAATGACACAGCAGGGAAGTGGTACCCAGTCCTCACCTGATGTGTCCGACCTCGTTTTCAAATGGGAGGAATCTGGGTGCGATCGGAGAGAGGGGCAGCCAGGAAGTGGCAGAGGAGGACCCACAAGCCCTGGTTCTGGGGGTCCAATGGGACTTAATTCTACAGCTGTGCTGCCTCAAGGACCGGGGAGAGGTGGGAGGCAGGAGGTCTGGGGTCCAGGCTCAGGCCCCACCAGCTCTAGGCTCCCCCGGACTCCTGGCTGCCTCAGGGTAGTTTTCTCACATAAGGTGTGGGCTTGGGTGTGAGATCCTACAGAGCCCTTTATGCTGATCCCTACACCCCAAACTCAGACCCACCTGAACTGCCCAGCACTCGGGGGAGGGGCTGACAGCAGGGGACAGCAAGCTCTGGGTGGCCAAAAAGCAGATCCCCCATCAGCCTGCTAGGTGCTTCCTTTGCAGTCACCCTTACAAGCTGCGGGTGTGGGGACAATGGTGCCATGGTGAGAGAAGGCTGAGTCCTGGAGAGGCAAGGGGCTCACACAGCCAGTCACCCTTCCCTGGCGACCAGGGCAGAGACCCTCTGATAAGGCCACAGGCTGTGCAGAGGAGGAGGAGGCAGCCTCCTGGGGTTGCCTGGGCCCTGCACCCCCACAAGGGGATGGGCGAGTCAGTCACCAGGGGGCTTGAAAGTGGCAGCTGATGGCAGCTGTTCGTGCACAGGGTTTAAAACCCTCTCTAAACACGACTGTGGTTTTAAACTACTCTAGGAAACTGGGAGGTCACTGGGGGCCAAGGAAGCCGAGAAGGGAAGCGAGGGGCAGGGAATAAAGTCATAAAATGAAACAGATGAAGTGCATGAGCTGGGCTAGACAGGAGGGGCGGGGACACGGCAGAGCTGGACATGGACCAGCCAGCTGATGGGAATGGGTGGACCCTCATGGACCACATGAGGTCAAGATCACAAAAGACAAAGAAAAGCAAAGGAGAGGAGAGCAGACTACTAAGCAGGGTACAGGTGTTCCTGTGACCTCCCCGAGACCCCTCAACATGGAAAACATCCTGAGTCAAAATGCCGTTAATGCACCTGACCTGCTGAATGCCACAGCCCAGCAACACAGCACGCCGAGGGGTGTCAGATCCTGCGGGGAGTGGGGGGCTGGCAAAGAGTTAAAGGACATTACTGGGACAGTTGGCAAAATTAAATATGAACCTGAGTTAAGTAACAGTGCCCTGTCAATGTGCCTTTTACCAAGTACATGTAAGAAAACGTCCTTGCTCTCAGGAACCCACAGTAGTATCCAGGAACAGATGCATGATTATCTTCGGACTAATCTCAAACGGCTCAGGAAAGAAATTCTGTGTCTGTGAGAGAGATGGGACAGGTGCAGGCCACAAGGAAAGGAAAACCAAGGCATGATCGCGGGCAGCGGCTGGCATGTCAGAGGGAACCTGCAAAGGGGTGGGGGCAGGAAGAGGACTGGACCTTCGTGAACCCAACAGGCCAGGCAGCCTGGCCATCAGCAGGTGGGGCGGTAATCTGGAAATCTTGGGGTCTAAGGAAAGTATGTGGTTCCAACATATGAGGTCAGAGGTCAGTAAGCCACATGGCCCAGGCCATTGACAGAGAAGGAGGAGGAGGAGGCCAGCGCTTGCTTGGTCTTCAGCCAGACCTTGGAGGACGTGGGACCCACTTTCTGATGACTCACACTTCCTGTCTGTCCTAACTGCTGCACCTGGCTGCTGATTGGCAGGGTTTCCCAAAGCATTTCTGCCCAGGACCCAAGATCCAGGGATTTGAGAACTAGATCCCAGGGGTTGTGGGTCTTCAACTTTATCACTGAGTCTTGGGCAAAGCTGCTGCCTCTCTGGGCCCCAGACCCTGCCCCCCAGCATCAAAAGATCCCAACCTTTCCAAAAATGGGGGTTCTGCTTAAAACACACAAAACTCCCCCCAGGGTACCAAGGGACAGCAGTTGCTGTTTCAGCAGCCATTGGTTGAGAAAATACTGGATGACCAACAGCAGCTGTGACTTTGGGACACAGCTGTGACTTTGGGAAAAGCGGGCAGTTTGCACTCACAACAAGCATTGCCAAAATATTTGTGCACAAAGCATTCTCTCCACCAGCAGTAGGGACTCTCACCGTGTGGACACAGACCCCAGGGCACACTGGCCCCTCTGCAAGTCTGGTGCCCAGCAGAGAACCTGGGTACCACAGGTGTGTGCCAAGGGACCACATTGTCCAGATGAACAGCAGGAGAAGCAGACAGGCCCTGGGCCCAGGTGGCATGTCCATCCACTGGCCCAATCCATGGGATGTGGGTGGGGGAAGCAGAGGGCAGGTCCAGGTTCCAGAGCAAGAAGCCCAGGAGTTGGTGGGGAATGCCGATGAGCACCGCCATCTTGGGAAACCGTATGGAGGGCCCTCAAAAAACTGAAAAGAGAACCACCCAGGACCCAGGGAGCGCACTCTGGGGCTTCTACCCAAGACTGGGATCAGAGTCTTGAGGAGACGTCTGCAGTCCTATGTCAACACCACATGAGCACGACGGCCAGTGTAGGAACCAACCTCAGTGTCCCCTGCAGATGACTAGAGAGAGAAGTTGGGACACGGAGAAGACACAGTGGAACACCACTCAGCCTCGGAAGAAAGGTGTCACTCGTGACAACATAAACGGGACTGGAGAACATGGTGCTGCAGGAGAAAGGCCAGGCTCGGGGACAGCTGTCCTCGCTTCATTTTATTTTATTTGATGGAGCTGGGCATGGAACCCAGGGGCGCTCTCCCACTGAGCCGCATCTCCAGCCCTTTGTATTTTGTTATTTTAAGATACGTTCTCAAAGTTGCCGAGCCTGGCCTTGAACTTGAGATCCTTCTGCCTCAGCCTTCACAGTCACTGGGAGCAAGTTCTCACTCAAACATGTGGAGGCTAAAACCATGGGATTCAACCAGCAGAGAGTGGAAGAGTGTTACCAGAGGCTACAGGAGGGAGGGCGATGGCCCAAGGCCATGAAGCCCAGTTAGAGGTGGGAAGGCGGGGACACAAGGCGGCTGGCTTTCTTTTTGGTACTGGGGATTGAACCTGGGGCTCTTACCCACTTACCCACATCCCCAGCCCTTTTTATATTTTATTTTGAGACAGGATCTCATTAAGCCTAGGAGTTGGCCTCAAACATGCCATCCTCCTGCCTCAGCCTCCCAAGCTGCTGGGATTACAGGGGTGCGCCACCACACCCAGCTGGGTTTTTCTTTGAGATAATATTCCATGGTGTGGTGGGGTGAAGATAGTAAATAATCATGTACAGGGTTACACATTTCAAAATCGCTAAGAAAGCAAATTTAACATGCTTTCATGTAAAAAAGTAAGTATCTGAGGTGATGGATGTTAACTAAATGTGTTAGCTAGCTTGATTCAATCATTCCTCATCATAACCATGGATCACATCACCTTGTACCCCTAAACCAAACAACTAGAATATGTCAATTTACAGTTAAGAATGTAAACTCAGTCAAGGAGAACGATTTCCCACGAGCCCTTACAGAAAGCTTTGGGGCGCCAGCTCAGAGCCTTTGCCCCGGGGCAGCTGGCCGCGGCTGAACTGGGCTGCAGCCTCCTCCGGGAATGGGGTAATAGTCCTGCTCACAGGTCAGGAGGGCAGGGCGAGGGGGAGCACCCTTGGTTCAGTCCCCCAGGGCAGGGAGGGTTCCTCACAGAGTCACCAAGACTCAGTGGCAGGAGGGAAGGTTCCTCCCAGGTGTCCCTGTTCACACGGCACTGAGTCCTCAGGCCTTGGCTTAGCCAGCTCCCTGGGGACACCGGGCAGTGCAGGTGATGGGGCTGAACACCAGCGAGACTGACCATGGGGACTCAGGGGCACTGTCCTCACTCCTGTGCCCAGCCACCCTGCCCCTGGAACGTGCCGCAGCAGAGCTGGGGCACTGGGAGGACAGAAGCCTTCCTGCCTTCTCTGTCTATGAGACCCACCTTGACCCAGGAGACACTGGAGGGGACCACAGAATCCGCCCTTCAGGCATTCTGTTTGGTATTTTTTTTTTTCAAAAGAAAAGAAGTGGGGGACAAGGGGAAGTACCCGCAGGAAAATGAGATCAGGCTGGGCGTGGCGGCCACCCCTGTAATCCCAGCCACTTGGGAGGCTGAGTCGGGACTGTTAGACATGGAAAATGATAAACCCCTAATGATGTAGCCTGGGAAGAGGGAACGGGAGCAGAGCAGCACGTGGGTGGCCTCAATTCTCCCCCAGGGACAGGACAGTCTCTAGAGGGGAAGCCAACGCACTGATCCTTCCTCAAATAAACCTTTTCCCAGTGACCGTGCAATGGGACCCTGAAGGGATCCCTGCACGCTGACCCCAGACCCTCCATTCTTACCCAAGTAAAAACATTGCCCAGTAGAAACAAGCTCTCAGATTCTCGGCACCCTGTTTCCTGAGTGCCCCAAACTGACCACTGACCCTAGACCCCTCCCCATCTCACCCAGTAAGACTGACACCAAATTCCCAAGTCACCTCTCAGGATAACCTAGGTAAGCCCCATCCCTTCCTTTGTCCAGGGGCTCATTTTCCACCAGGAAAATGGGTCTACCAGCATCTCCC